TTCAGTAATGTCAATATTGATCTCTCTTTACTTTCAACTTGTGAAATGCGAAATTCCTCTTTCTTGTACGAATTACACCCAGAATTACTCCCGGACCTGCAAATCAAATTTTATATTCGCAGTTTTAAGAATAATTTTGGGAGTAATTCGTAAAAAAAAAGGGATTTCGCAGTTCACATGTCTATGAGTAAAGAGATGCCAATATTAAAATTACTGAATTGTCTATTTATTTAACACCAAATGGACAGAATAACAAATGAGGAACTAAATTGAGCAAAAATACAAAAGTTTGGGACTAAATTGAGCGAAACACAAAAGTCTGGAACGATATTAGGTCACCAAAGTCGTTTAGGACGAAATTGAGAAAAACCACTATAATCGAGGACGATTTTGGGTATTAACTCCTCAAAAATAGAATATCAAAGTCTGAAGATACAAATATAAGGTACGAAGTAAAGTTCTAGTCTAATACTAATAATATAATCCTAATACATGTATCATAGAGAGGTAATTAAGGACAACGTTACACTTAGGACAATATCATTAGTTCATCTTTTTAGATATCCTTTTCTTTTCTAACTTAATTATCTCCTCATTCCATTAATTAATATCCAGAAATGAAAGCAGATGAGAGAGAAGATTTAATTTGGTTGTCAACGTTGCACCTGCGGCTGACGGTCCCGTCCCTCATGAGACGCCGCTGCCTGTGTATAGAAATAGAAAGAGGGCATTTTGAAGAGCTATATGTTCTTGCGTTGGCATCTTCTACTTTCCTAATTCTGGGCGTGAAAATGTAGAAACCTCCATTTCACTCCATCTTGTCCAAATTTCTTCCTCAAGCTTTGAATTTGAGTATTCTACTTTGCAAGTTCTTAAATCGGAAATGTAAATTAAAACTGTAAAACGTACAAGGAGTAACCGGGGCATACCCCGGAAGTACACGGATGCCCCTCCCCCCCCCCCCAATCTCAAATGGAGGTTAAGAGAGCGCAAAGCATAATGAGTTGAACCGGCCATTGGGCTTAATTAAATAAGCTTTTTAATTAAAGTTCTAGGCCGGCCCCAAAGTTCTGTGTTACATCAGAAAAATTCCGGCTTACGAGAGATGTAAAGTCAACAAGGCTGATATGGTGAGTCACGCATGTCCCAGACCAGGTCAACAAGTGAACAAATTATAGAGAGTCAACTATTACCAAAAGTGTCTCGGGGTTGATTCGAAACCCAGGCCAAATCATTCCTTCTCATGCCTCTGCCACTTCAACACTCACAATTTCTTGAAACCATTCCAGTAACAAATTTATAAATCTTGTAAGTGCTGAAAGCAAGTGGAGACCGCCACACCATCAGCAAGTCAAATGGTCAACGCAGTCTCACCGCCCATCATTCTCTTTGCCAGCATTCTTTTCAAGCGTTGAAGCCTCTCCCACAACAGGCAAGGTGATGCTAGCAATCACAGAAGTTTCGGCAGCCGAAATTAGGTCATTCTTGTCTAATGGCAGACACGATTCATCCCCATCAGATTCATGGGAACAAGAAGCAATTTCACGAGCCCCAAACTTGTAGGCAGCAGCGTCCATAGTACCAGATGGTATAATAACAGAAGGAGCAGGCACCACCCTCTCGTTTGAACCATCAACACCCGCACCATCACCATTTTTATGACCATTCGTATCCAGATTTCCTTCAGAGGTGTCAACAGCCCTTCTCTTAGGATTACCATCAACTCGGCTGGCTTAGAATGCAATCACCCGTCACATGTTTAGAGCTGCCACAGCGAGTACAGAACAGAGGTAGGTGCTCATATATGATCTCCTGTTCAAACGACTCACCATTAGGGAGCTTTACATCCACCAGTTCAAGCTTTTTCAAGATGCAATCCACATCCACCAAAATACGGGCATAGGCCGTCTTTCTCCTATCTTTCGTAAATCTGTCCATACGAATTGGTTCCCCAATGCTTGAAGCAATTCTGCCAAGTCCTTTGTGATGCCAGCAAGGATGAGGAAGCCAGGGCAGTCTAATCCAGACCGGCAGGAAACGATAGTCCTCATAGCTCTGAACAAAGCTTTCACGAGGGGGCTCAAAGAACAATCGTTTTCCAAACAAAGCATAAGGGCCACCGGATAGAACAGCCTGCCTATCCTCTTCTTTATTGAACCAGAATAAGACATGACCATTAAGGTGGACTTCAAGCTTGTACCAAACACCCCAGGATTTGGCCAATTCATTTACCACCTTCATGCCGGGGACTCTGCCGGCAAACCGACCAATCAACGCAAACTTCTTTACAGTATCGACTTCTAGAACCTCATTCTCTTCCAAAACAGCAACCCCTCTGTTTGTACTGATACGAGAGAGAACGCAATCCTCCCCTTCCATCCTACGGGTATTTTTGAATGGGTGATGAGGGGATGGGGGGAGAGATTAGTCTTAGGAACCCAAGCTTGTTTGCCAGAATTTTTTCTGACCCCAAAAGCTTCATAGTCATCCCCACCAACTGAAAAGGAGACAACAGAACCAAGGGATCTAGAGACTGGAGGTTCATCAGAGACCATCGGGGCAGGGGTGGGATTGACGGGGAGACGATAGGGTGGCCTGGAACTGCTTCCAGCCATGTTTCTTCCGTCCAAGTTTTTCCCAGAACGAGTGGCCATAGATACCCAGAGCACAGAACCAGTTCTCTAAACAAGTTTAACCCAAAAGCCGGTTCTCACACGCAGATTATCCGGCAAAGGAGCGAAGCAATCGCGAAAAAGCAATAAAATCCGGTGCTCATCACAGACAGCCGGTGGAAGAGGAGACGTTACCTGGAGTTACAAGAGAGCACTCCACCGTGACCCTCGGGTTTCCACCCCAGAAAGCCGCCTGTTGTCGTTTTACAGTAACTTCCCGTCGAGACCGTCGGACTTCCAGAAACACAAGGCACCGCCTTTTAACGTCGCACAGAGATACCGACCGGAAAAATCCCTTCAGGAATGGCGGAGGCAGTCGTATCTATCCACCACCGTCGGAAGAACCACACAAGAACACCGGTCGTTCCAGTCAACAGTGCAAATTCAAACCGTCACCTTTGCGACCGTCGGACTTCCACGGTCAGCTTTACCACCAAACGTCGGAAAACCACAAAGAAACCGTTGAAGAAACCAGACATGACCGCTGGAGAACGCTACAACTCGCCGGGAATCTCTATCGCGAACGAGAAATCCATTGAGGACGGACAAAATAGCTCTGTCGTTTTCGAAAATTCCGAGGGGAATAATCCAAAAAAGCGAACAGTTTTGTAGCTTTGTCGTTGTTGTAAAATCCAGAGATTAACGGACAATACTGTAAATCTATCCAAATGATTAATAGAACAATGGGTATTCAAAAATCATTTTCCAAAAATGAATTCGTAGACTACTGGACAAAGAAATCGGAAGAACTCCCGTGCGTGTGGCACTCTAAAGAGAAGTCAAGAGAATACGTAAGGGTGTTGCTATTTGCACCACCCATTGACTAAAATGAGGTATAAAGCACTTTGAAAATGTAAAAAGGTAGTAAATATGGGTGGTGCAAATAGCCTAATGGGTGGTCAAAATGCTATTTGCACCACCCTATTAAATTTACAATTATGAGGTCAAAATGTAATTTAAAAAAAAAAAAAGAAAAAAAAAAAACGGAGCAGCCATCGCCTTCTCCGGTGAGAAGGCAGCCCAGTGGGTCGCCTTCTCGCCGGAGAAGGCAGCCCACACAGTGGGTCGCCTTCTCGCCGGAGAAGGCAGCCCAGTTGCCTTCTCCGGTGAGAAGGCAGTCCGTCGCCTTCTCACCGGAGAAGGCGATGGCTGCTCCTTTTTTTTTTTTTTTTTTTTTTTCCTGCCTCCTTGCCTTCCTGGTCCATTTTTTTTTTGTTTTTCGATATATGTTTATTTTAAATTTATGATTTCAATAGATAGTTTTTTGAACTTGATAATTTTAATACATATATTTTGTAAATTTACAATTTCAATTCATATTTTTTAGTTAATATTGTTGTTAGTGAAATGAAACTACGTGTAGAATGAATGGCAAGGAATCCAAAAGACTTAAATGGCTCTATATATATGTGGTGTGTGTGTGTGATGTACATGTCATACAATCAAAATCAAAATCAAAATTCGTGTGTGTGTGATGGACGGTTGGATAGATAATTTGTTTAGCTACAACTATCAAAATCAAAGCCAATTTCTTAGTTACAATGGTCCAAATCAAAATCAACAACATTACGAGGTATTTTAATTTTTTTTTATTTGAATTGTTACTGAAATGTTACAATTGAACTTATGTATATTTGTTCATTGCTTTTATATATTATTTAAAAATTTAAGTTCATTGCTTTCATATATTATTTAGAAATTTAAGTTCATTGCTTTCTTCATTTATGTCATATATATATATATATATATATATATATATATATATATATATATATGTGTGTGTGTGTGTGTGAACTTAGTAAATTGAATATTACGTATTATTTATATATTCATTGCTTTTATATATTATTTAGAAATTTAGATATGTATATTTATTTTTGATTAGAAATTCATTGCTTTAATATATCAATATTGAATATATTATTTTGTCTTTATATATTAAGAGTTGTTATTTGTTTGTTTGTTTAGGACGAAAATGCAATCGAAATTTATGATGACAATAGAACTAAAGATGATGATCAAGTGAACCTAAATCTCGAGGTTGCATGCGAATTGTCTACAGAAACGGTAAACAAAATTCATATGCATACTTATTATTATTGTAAGCATGTAATTATTAATATTATTATTATTATTATTATTATTATTATTAATTAGTACGTATACTTAATTTCTGTTTTTGTTTTTGTTTGTTTGTTTTTTTTAATTTGTTGGTATACATGCATGTAATTATTATTATGATTATTAATTAGTACGTATACTTATGATTATAATTAATTAATTAGGTATTTTTATTATTGATACAAATAATTTTTTTATTAGGCATTCATGTCTCGCGAAGATTTAATTGAATGGGTTCAAAGTAGAGGTCGGGATCTCGGATATGTTATTGTGATTAAAAGATCCCGGAATAAAAGTCCTACAGTTATATTTCAGTGTGACCGTGGTGGTACTTACGTGCCAAAAAAAATCTCATCTAAAAACACGGGTACAAGAAAAATTGATTGTCCATTCCAATTGGAGGGGAAATACATACGTGTTGATGGTTGCTGGAGGGTTAGGGTAATATGTGGAGTACATAACCATGATCCTGCATTGCACCTTGAAGGTCACCCGTATGCAAGGCGATTATCAGGAAATGAAGTCGAATTGGTGGAAAAGGCGATCTATAGAAGTATTTTGAGAAAGTGCAGGGCATCGATCCCCTCAAACCATCATTGGGATTTATTCTACAAATCATGGAACGCATTAGTTGAGTCTCAGACTCATGAATCATATATGTTCCATTTAGCTCAAATACAAGCAGTTTTGGTTGACTTTCCAGGTATTATTCGATGTATATTTTAATATTTTTTTTAACAAGGCATATTTGTTCAACTACTGTAATTATTTCTTCAATTATTCACATTTTCAGGTGTTTTTGGTTATATTGATGATAATTGGCTGCAACCGTATAAAGAAATGTTTGTATCTGTTTGGACTGATCGATATCTCAATTTTGGAAATCACACCACGAACAGAGTTGAGAGTCAGCATGCCAAGTTAAAAAAATACTTGGAGTCATCGCAGTCAGATTTGGAGACATCATTGGTTTATATCGACAGAGTCATTCAGTCACAGGACACATCCATCAAAGCAAGTCTTGAACAAAGCAAAATTTTGATTCGACATCGGTTCAACACGTCACATTTTCAAGAATTGCGAGGATTTGTGTCTATTCATGCACTGAATCTCATTTTTAATGAGTTTGAGAGGTCACGGGCTGGCGGGATTACTTATGAAAATTGTGGATGTCGATTGCGAACAAGTTGCGGGCTTCCATGTGCACACGAGCAGGTAACATATTTTAACTGTGGTAAGCCTATCCCACTTGATTCGATTGATATCTTTTGGAGGAAGCTCGACTTATCATCTTCCATCTCTCTAACCAATGAAGATTTTGGTGTTGAGCATGAGCTTCATATGTTTAAGGATCAGTTCAAGAAACAATCAAGAACTGGTAAATTCAACATATTGAGAAAGTTGAGGGAGTTGATCGCGCCATCTACAACTTCGATCCGTGAGCCACCCGTGCAAATAAATGTTCGTGGGCGTCCCACTTCAAAAAACAAATCTCTCATAAGAACTCTATCTCTCAGAAAAACTAAAGCCGAGCCAAATAATATTCAATTTCAAGAACAAGCTCGGAATAGTTGTTCAGCTGCACCAACTTCAGGTGATAGACACTTTTACCATCCTTATATGCTTCAACTTCCGGTTATATTCCATCCTTTTATCATGCAAGTGCAAGATGTGAAATCTGACGGAAACTGTGGATTTCGAGCCGTAGCTCTCTGTCTCGGTTTTAAGGAGGACGAATGGTTCAAAATTCGATCCAATTTAATCGAAGAACTAGAGTCTCACACAATGGAATATACCGATATGTTTGGAACTCAAGGATGGTATAATGCCTATAACATGTTGAATTTTTTTGCACAAGATCGGTGTGCACCAGTTGAGCACTGGATGACTATGCCGGAGATGGGTGTACTAATTGCTTCCCGATACAATGTGATACTACATGTTTTGAGTATGGCCGGCAGTACAACATATTTACCACTTCGATCTAGCCCACCACCTTGGTACGAGCATGTAGCAATAACCCTTGGTTATATTAATAATAACCATTATGTCAAGGTAACATTGACAGGAGGGTACCCAATGCCTACAATTGCTCCACAATGGGCTTATTTTAGATATGATTGTGCAAATGCATGGATGACTCCATATATGAATAGGATTGAAAGTTACAATGAGCATGTACGCTCTAATTGTACTCGGGAAAATGTTATATTAGATTGAAATTGAATGAATTTATTTTTTATTTTATTTTTATTGTGAAGTTAATATATTTTTACAATTTTTAGCGATTCAAATTTTATTTATTATATCTCTATAAAAAAAAGATAAAATAATGAATACAACAAATTTAAGTTATAAAAAATATTAAAATAACAAAATTAATCATTATTTTGAATTTAAAAATTAAACCATAAACAAAAACAAGTATTGAAAATAGAAAGTTAAAAAAATTATATTGAACAAAAAAAACAAGTATTGAAAATAAAATTTAAAAACATATGTATTGAAAATAAAAATTTTAAAAATAATTACACAAATAATTAAAAAAAAAAAAAAGAATAAATCATCGCCTTCTCCGGTGAGAAGGACTGCCTTCTCACCGGAGAAGGCAACTGGGCTGCCTTCTCCGGCGAGAAGGCGACCCACTGGGCTGCCTTCTCGTCGGGGCGATCATTTTTTTTTTTTTTTTAATGTTTATTGTTAAAAAATAATAAATAATAAATGTTACCACCTACTTTGACTACATTTATTTGCACCACCTACTTTGGTATTTGCACCATCTATTTGACCTATTAAATAGGTGGGTGCAAATAGTAAATAGGGTGGTGCAAATAGAACTTCCCATTCTTAAAGAGAGAAACACTCTAGCCACTAGTTACACTACTGAGTACTTTGCAAGTGCTACTCAAATGGATGCGTGTTCTGGCTTCTAAATTCCTAATTCTGAGCCTCAAGTTCTAGAAACTTCAACCTCAATTCATGCGCCTCTCTCTTGTCTTTTTACAGAATTCTTCGGCTAAGATTGGTTTTGGTGAACAATATTTTGCAATTCATGACAAAATGGAAAAAATACAAAAATGTGTAGGATGGAGCATGCATTTCCCAAAATGTGTGTCCCCCCCCCCCCCCCCCCCCCTTTTTTTTTTTTAACATACTCTCCTCTGTTTGTTATGTATTGTCTAATGCAGGTTCTCAAAATACTGAAGACACATTGTTTAAAATATGCATTTACTATTGATGATGTAGAATATTATTATTAAAATATTTTCATTCTATTGTTTAAAATCATGAAAGATTTGTGACATAATTGTGATTTGATGTATTATAATGTATAATATTATTGTGAAAAATTAAAATGTAATGAACTGATCATTTTCTTTTTATTTTAGTCAATTATGGATCATTTTTATTGTCAGACAATTATTAATATTCATTTCTCTTTTCAATTAACCTAATTTTTGTTCCTTTTTTATCTTTAATTTTCTGTTGATATTCATTATTTTTTTCTAATTTACCTACTTTTCACACTATTTTTAATTGATGATGTAAAATATTTTTGTGAAATATTTTTGTTCCTTTTTTCTTTCCATCCTTTTTTTTAATTTACCTGTATTATTTACTATTGTTTGGGCGGGAAATCAAGTAAATAGAATTTTGTTTTTAATTATAGTATATATATATTTTTTCTTTTTCTATTGTTTGGACGGGAAAGTAAGGAAAGAAGATTTTGTTTTTAATATAGTATAAATAGATTGATAATCCTTTTATATTTTCTTATTTAACTTATTATTATTAGTATTCATCAGTGAATTTCGTTTCTTTTTTCATTTTTAGTGAATTAATGATTTTTTTTTTATTTTACTGCTAACTTTTAATTTTACTGATTATTATTAGTATTAATTAATCAGTGAATTTCGTTTCCTATTCTATTTTTTTTAATTTTTTTATAAATTAAGGATCTTTTTTTATTTTTCAAATTTTTTGGTACTTTTAATTTTAAATACTAACTTTTAATTTCCTATGCTAACTTTTAATTTTTTAAATACTATTTCCTTACTATGACCTTTTTTTAACAACATTTCATTTTCTTTTTTCATTTTCATTGAATTAAGAATTATTTTTTATTTTTCAATTTTACTGATTATTATTAGTATTTATCAGTGAACCGTTTCTTTTTCCATTTTTAGTGAGTTAGGGATCCTTTTTTATTTTCTTATTTTACTGCTAACTTTTTTACTGATTATTATTAGTATTAATTAATTAAATTAGTGAATTCTATTTCTTTTTTCTATTTCTAGTGAATTAAGAATCTTTTTTATTTTTTCTAATTTTTATAGGCTCTTTTTTTTTTTTTAATCCTTATTATGACCCCTTTTTTTTTTACACAACCTTCTGTTTTTTTTTTTTTTTCCATTTTCATTGAATTAAGACTCATTTTTTTTTTCTATTTTACTGATTATTACTAATAATAATCAGTAAGTTCCGTTTATATTTCCATTTTTAGTGAATTAATGATCCTTTTTTATTTTTCTATTTTACTACAAACTTTTTTTTACTAATTATTGTTAGTATTAATTAATTAGTGAATTCCGTTTCTTTTTTTATTTTTTGTGAATTAAGGATTTTTTTTCTATTTTACTACTAAAGTTTTTACTAATTATTATTAGTATTATTAATTGGTAAGTTTTTTCCATTTTTTATTGTTTGGGCCGGAAAGTAAGAAATGATGATTTTATTTTTAATAATAGTATAGATTATTATTATTATTATTATTATTATTATTATTATTATTATTATTATTATTGTTATTGTTATTGTTATTGTTATTAGAGTTTATATATTAGTAATGTTATTATTATTTGTTTTTTTAGTCTTTTTTGGAAAGGTTATTTTTTTAATTAGTATATTAGCATGTACATTTTATTATCATCCTATCATATCCTATATATTATAAAGTTATATGGTCTTGTGAAAATTGAATGTTGCATTTAATTTTCACAAGACCATATGACTTTAAGATGTGAAAGTCTTGTGAAAATTAAATGGGCTTTAAGATGTGAAAATTACTTTAAGATGTGAAAATTAAATGCAACATTTAATTTTCACATCTTAAGGTCATATGGCTTTAAGAAGCATGCATGCAACCCCAAAGTCCATATTTTGAAATTAATATATAGCATAGTTATGTGGCTTAATATTTAAGATTGTTGATGTGCATATTGAGGACTACAGAGACAAAGATGTGTTATTCGTGGATTAATCGGATACTATCCAACAACACTCTCCAACTTAATTGACGTGAAGTAGGCTTAGTAACATTAAGATTATATTTTCGAATTATTAGTTCTCATCTTTTATTGATTACACACTTAATTCGATTGTATTTGGAAGAAAAAAATCAATGTTCTAACTGAGATTGTGATTTTGGTCTTTAAAGGTCAATTGTATGTTGCTACATCTAGAGTTAGAAATTTCAAAGGTCTAAAAATTTTGATCCGTGGTGACTCTAAAATTGTAATTCAATTACTATTGTAGTTTACGAAGTTCTTAAAAATTTATAATATTAAATATTATGTACTAAATTTTTAATATAGTTTGTTTTCAAAAAAAAAATTTAATATAGTTTAAGATTTGTAGTAATCACCCACCTTAAATATTATTTTAATTGTAAATATATTTATGTTCATAATTTTATCATAGGAATTCACACATAATAATTATTAAATAACAAAAATTTTATATATGAATAAATCTCATATAGTGTATATTTTTATAACATGTTTTCCGTGCATCGCACGAGACAAATACTAGTTAATAATAACGTTATTATTATTATTATTATTATTATTATTATTATTATTATTATTTTAGCGAAGAAAGTTAAGCAACGGATAGTTGCTGAAGACAAAAAAATCTTGAGTTTTAGCGAAAGAGAGAAGAGGATGACAGACGGTCTCGGGTATCGACTGAATGAAGAATGTCAAACGTTTTTAGTGCTTTTTATATGTAGTGTTAGGGTTATGTTGTGGGTTGGGCTTGATTTATTAAAGTAATTGGACTTAAACAGAAAAGATTCAATTTTAGTCTCAAAAAATATATTTTAGTAGTACGTGTTGTATTGCAGATTTATTTGCAGGCCTTTAGATCGTGAAGAACAGTAATGAAGAATAAAAAGAAGCAAAATAAAGAATAGAGAAAAGGGGTTTCTTATTCATCATCCACTCTGTACATCATTACATCAATGTATATAACAGCTATTACAAGATCATACCATAAATATAAAGTCGTTACCAATCATATCATTAATGCTAGAATAATGTCCATAATTAGATTTTACAACACTCCCCCTTGGACATTATTTTGCCATAATCTTACCTCGTTAAAAACTTGCTAGGAAAACCCTGTGGGAAAAACCTAAACAATAAAAGAGTACAAGCAGGGCCGTTCCAATAAAACTTTGGGTCCTGTGCAATATCTTAATTTGGGCCCCTTTTATCAAGTAATTTTTATATATAAATAATAATTGTTAAAATTGTTGTGTCATAAATACCTATTAATTTAGAATCGAGGGGGCAAATTATGTTGTGGACCTCGGTCCACCTTGCAAGGTGGACCTGGGTTATATTCACGATTTTAGAACTCTATTTTCACAAATTTAAAACTGAATATTCACAATTTTAGATCTTAATATACAAAATTACAAAACTTTATATTCACAATTTTTTGAACTCTATATTCACAATTTTTAAACTCTATATTCAAAATTTTAGAACTCTATATTCAAAATTTTAGATCTCAATATACAAAATCGTAGAACTCAATATTCATAATTGCATAACTCTATATTTACAATTTTGAATTCTATATTCACAATTAAAGAACTCTATATACACAATTACAGAACTGAATATTTACCTGCTGAGTTGTTTTCAATAATTTAAAAAAAAAAAAAAAAAAAACAAAAACAAATCATTGGCTGCGGAAACGGTGCCACTAACGGCACCGCTATTTCCACACGCGCAAATTGCGTCGCTTTGGACCTAGGTCCACCTTGCAAGGTGGATCCAAGTCCATGGCATATCTATTGAATAAGGGCATCCAAATTTCATATATGTGAAATAAAAGCGAATTATTTGGTTTATCACTGTAACCAATATCATCTAAATAACTATCAACATTCTTATTATTTTCATTGTCACAGTGATATCTATCATCGTTGT